GTTTATTATGGGGACTGCGTACTGAAAATCATCATGACTTCCTTCTCTTCAAATACTAGAAGGCTATGTCTGTCTTAAAGCATTGCGTCAATGACTGGACAGAGGGCCACAAATGTAATTTACAATATAAGATGGGTTCCAAACTATTTTCTTATATTTGTGATTATCCTCATGATTTTTGCCTTCCTCTGCTAAAATCCAGATGCTTAAATATTGCTAAAGATTCATTATCCTGACCAGACAATCAACTGATGATGACAGCTCCCATGGAGTTGAGTTATGACCAAAAAGGGATGCTGAGAAATACTAATGAGGCAAATGGTGAGATCTGGAGAATCACTAATTCATATCTTTTAACTTTCCTAATGAGGAAAACAATGAAAGTGATACAGCATGTGGATTAGTTTATGAACATCAGATTTTAGTTTCATTTATACCATGTTATATAAGACTTGCTCACACTGATAAGTAACTTGCAATGATCACCTAAATACAGGCTGACTAACATCTTTTCAATTTTATTCAAATAAAATAACACTAACTTATATATATATATAATATATATACAAAAATACAGTCCGTTTACAAGCAATCTATTTAATTAAAATTCGATTTAGTTCATTCATTTTACAAAAGTCAATAATGTAGATCTGCAATATAACCATGTGGGAGCTGGGGTGCTGGGTGAATATTCTGACAGTTTCCTACTGTGTAGCCAGAACTCTGACATGTTAGCATTTTATGTCTTATTTGGCCTTGGTCTGTATGCCACTGGGACCCAAACATCTGAATGATTAGTTTGCTAACCGTCAACAGAAGCCCACATTTAAAAAATACAATTGTGTCAGTCAGTTTGCTTTCAGAGTAATTCAACTCAACATGCAACCTTAAGACACTGTTCAAATTTTTTTTTAGACATGCATTAGAAATAATTCCAGGAAAATCAGAAGGAAAAAATTCTAGGTTTAGGTTTATATTATTTTCTAAAATAATACAGCTAACTTTTTAATATGACAAACTGGGGCAGGGAGGAGGTGGTTCAAAGCAGTACAAGCTAGGTAGTTGTTTTAGGAAATAATTTGTTTGGTAAAGACAGAGGGCATTTTGTTTAAATAATTTTTATAACTTATGCCAAGGAAAAATGAGGGAAAGATAAGAAAAAGATCAAACCTGGTGAGCCAGATGGACTCCTACAGCAGCCAGAGCGGCGTAGTAGGGTGCAGTCTGATTGCTATTCACTCCCACCAGGCTCAGAGCCCCCAGCATGGCCACACTGAAGCCACTGAGCCACTGCTTGGTGTCCTCACGAAACCGCAGGGCTGTGGACTTAAGCCCAATCAGAGCATCATCTCTCTTGTCCTGACATCAGAAAGTAATAAGAGACTGGGTTTTACTGAGATTTAATTCACATATCATAAAACTCATCATTTTGAAGCATGTGATTCAGTGGTTTCAGTATATTTACAAGGTTGTGCAACCATTACTACTGCTTAAATCCAGAAGAAACTATCTTTAAAAAAACATGCAGATATACTGTAAGTTGTGGAAAATGACAGTAACTCAGAAACACAGTTGATCAATAATGAATGTGCAGGCCAAATCAAAGTTAAATGTTACTGCTAAAATTATCTTCCAGGTCTATTTCTATGTATCATTGTACTTATACCCCTATGACTTTTAACTGTTCTTTTACTAAATTAGAAGTCAAACTCAACTCTAATTCTTCGTGTAGCTCCTCTTTACTTCAGAGTTCTCAAATCTCAATAGTTTCCTGTACATTGTAGTTTCAGTCTTGCTAAAAATCACAGATGGAGAAAAATGCTCACTTGCACTCCTAACCACATCCACTCACATTTCACTTCTAGCTCAATTTATTCCTTTTTCTCTACCATCAAATTCTTTCTGCTTAAGGAGAGCTAGGCTTGATAATACACTCAGATCTGGCTGGCTAGTCTCTTCTGGCAATTTTATTTGTGAGCATTTCCATATACTGCTGTAATCATGGTCACATGATATCAGAGGCTTCACGCTGAACACTGTACCTAACTACAGGCAGAGAGACAGTTACCTGATAGGCAATCTTCTGGGGTCCCAAATCCAAATAATAATAGTGAGTGAGGGGTTAGTATATGTTTTTCCTTTCAAACTACAAGCACCTTGAGGATACAAACTGTGTCCTTAATCATGTGGATCACAAAACTGTCAGTGAGAATAGTTTTCAAAAATATTCTGTTGTTGCCATGGAATTGTGAAAGATTTTTTTTTTTCAGAAAAAGAGTATCTTCAAGGAGGTGACATCAGCATCATGGTGGCAGGAGATGCTCCCTTTGTTTCTCTCCCTTTCAGTCTACAACTACTAAAACATCTGTAACTCAGCAAAGGTGTCCGCCTACCACATCAGGGCGCTGAAGAGATATGCATCTGCACATCTAAAGGTTGGTGGACTGGAACACACAGAGGAGCTGGAACAGTGGAGATGGTGCCTGTGATCTTGGTTGCCCAGCTGTAGCAGCTGAATCTGCAGCCCCCAAGAACCCAGCAGCAGCAGTGGCTGGGCCTGCAACCTGAGTCCCTCCAGCCACAGCAGCACCCACAAATCTGGTTTCATCTGCCCAGCCTGCAGCAGTGGGGTCCACAACCCAGGCCCTACAGCTGTGGCAGTGCCCATGACTCCAGTTCTACCCCCACAGCCTGCAGTGGCAAGTGCCCGCGACCCTGGCCACTATCCCATCTCCTGCTGCTGTGGTGGTGCCCACAACCCAGCTGACCCAACACAGCAGAGGCACCCACCATCCCAGTGCCCCCAGTGGTGATGCCAGCAGCAGCTGTGACACCAGTAGCAACAAGGCACTAGCAGTAACAACAAAAGCATCACCCTGGCAGAGGTGGCAGAGGGTGCAAAGTGTCGATTCTCAAATGTGGCCAATGACAGCTCAAGTAAGAGAAACCGAAATAGTGCTATAGCACCACCTACTAAAAACCAGAAGATGGACCTCCAATTACCAACCCACTGAACTGTTAGAATCAAAGTAAACAAAGCTTTACCTAAAGAAGAAAGATGTTTACTACTTCAAATGAGCTGGCAGGGGAACAACTCGTCAACCGTGGTAACACAGTATCACAAAAAGAATGTAACAACAATCCAGAAACCAAATTTAAAATAAGTAAAACACTGCCATCGAACTGACAGACGGTTCAAAATAGCCATCATGAAGAAATTCAATAAGCTACAAGAACTCAGAAAGGCAGTTCAGTGAGCTCAGGAATAAAAGTAATGAACAGAAGGAACACTTTACCACAGCGATGAAATCTTTAAAAAAGAACCAAACAGAAATTCTGGAGCTGAAGAACTCAATAAATAAGATGAAGAATGTATCAGAAAGCACTGGAAATAGAGCAGATTGTACAAAAGAGAAAATCAGCAAGCTTAAAGACAGAAATTTAGAAATGGTTCAGGTAGAAGAGGAGAGAGAACTAAGATCTTTAAAAATGAACAAACTCTGCAAGAATTATTCATTAGAACTCCATTAGAAAAGGCAACATTAGGATAATGGGTATCCTGGAAGGTTAAGAGAGAGAGATAGGAACAGAGTTTATTTAAAGAAATAATATCTGAGAACTTCCCAAAGCTGGGGAAGGAACTGGATATACAAGCCCATGAAGCTAGGAAAACATCTAATTACCCCAACACAAAAAGGCTTTCAATGAGATACATTATATTAAAACTGTCAAAAGTCAATGGAAAAGAAAGAATTTGAGAGGTGGTCAGGGAAAAAGGATGGTAACCTAAAAAGGAACCCCATTAAGCTATTAGCAGATTTCTCAGCAGAAACTACAGGCCAGGAGAGAGTGGAAAGACATTCTCAAAATATTGAAAGATAAATCCTGTCAGGTAAGAATATTCTATCCAGTAAAGTACCCTTTAGATATGAAGGAGAAATAAAGGCTTTCCCAGACAAACAAAAGCTAAGGGAGTACATCACCATTAGATCTGCCTAACAAGAAATGTTGAAATAGCTCTTCTACCTGAAATGAAAAGGCAAAAATATACCAAACTTTGATTAAGGTGATAAATAGAATCAGAAAACAGTAACTCTGTATCAGAAGAGGTTTTAAACATTTAATGATAGCATAAAGATTAAAGGGAAAAAAGTAAAAATAACCATAGCTACTTCAATTTGATAATGAACTTAAAATATAAAAAGGACTACTTTGAGAAACAACAACAACAAAAGATAAAAGGGGAAAAGAGGAAGAGGATGGAACCTGTACAGGCAAATGATAACATACTATCAGCAGAAAAGAACTATTTTATCTATGAGATGTTTTGTACAAACCCTGCGGAAACCACGAAACAAATCTAGAGCAGAGACATGAAACATAAAAAAAGAGAAAATTGAGAAAAACATCACAGAAATATCACCAAACTAAAATGGCAGACAGAAGCATAAGGAACATGAAACAACAGAGATATAGAATAACCAGAAAACAAAAGATATAATGGCAGTACTAAGTTATAATTTATCAATCATCAAGCTAAATGGAGTGAATTCACCAGTCAAAAGACACAGTGGCTGGATGGTTTTAAAAACAACTACAACCATTATACACTATCTGCAGGAGACTCATTCAGTTCTAAAGACAAACATAGGCTCAAAATCAAACAATGGAAGATGATACTCCAAGCAAATGGCATCCAAAAGAAAGCAGGTGTAGCCATACTCCTATTACACAAAATAGACTTCAAGCTAAAAAAGGTAGCAAGAGACAAAGATGAACATTATATAATGATAGAGGGGACAATTCATCAAGAAGGCGTAACATTAATATATGAACCTACCTAGGGGCCAAAATATTTAAAGCAATATTTAACAGACCTAAAGGGAGAAATTCACAGCAACAAAATAATAGGAGACTTTAACACCTCACTTACATTAATTAATAGATTAAGACAGAAAGTCAACAAGGGAACAGTGGTCTTAAATGAAACATCAGATCAGATGGACTTAATAGACTTATTCAGATGCAGCAGAATACACATTCTCAAGTACATATGGAACATTCTCAAGGATAGATCATATGCTGGGATACAAAACAAGTTTCAATAAATTTATGAAGGCTGAAATCACATCAAGCAGTATTTCTAAACACAGTGGCATGAAACCAGAAATCAGCTACAAAAAGAAAGCTGAGAAAATCACATATTTAATATGTAGAGGCTAAAGAACATATTGGGTCAAAAAAGAAATCAAAGGAGAAATCAAAAAAATACCTGAAGACAAATGAAAATATGATATAACAAAATCTACAGGATGCAGCAAAGGCAATACAGGCCTACCTCAAGAAACAAGAAAAATCTCAATACGTAATCTAATCTTACACCTAAAGGAAGTAGAAAAAGAAGAAAAAATGAAGCCCAAAGTCAGAAGAAAGAAAGAAATAATAAAAATATAAAGTAGAAATAAAAGACTAAACAGAACTAAATACAACAGAAAATCAGTGAAACATGAATGAAAAGATAAACAAGACTGACAAACTTTTAGCTACAATCACTTAAAAAAAGAGAAGGCTCAGATAGATAAAATCAGAGATGAAGTGGAGAAATCACAATGGATGCCACAGAAATACAGAAAATTATAAGAGAAAACTACGAACAGCTATATGTCAATGAAGTGGACAACCTAGAAGAAATGGATAAATTCTTACAATCATACAACCTTCCCAGAATGAATCATGAAGAAACATAAAATCTGAATAGACTGGTCACTAGTAAGGAGATTGAATCACTAATCAAAAACCTCCCTTAGAACAAAAATCCAGGACCAGACAGCTTCACAAGTGAATTCTTACCACACATTCAAAGAAGATTTAATACCTATTCTTCTCAAACTCTTCTAAAAAACTGAAGAGGAGAGAACACTTCCTAACTTATTTTACAAGGCCAAAATCACCCAGATACCAAAACCAGACAAAGACAATACAAAACAGGAAAATTACAGTTCAATATCTCTGATGAACATAGATGCAAAAATTCTCAACAAAATTTAGCAAACTGAAAATAACAATACGCTAAAAGAATCATACACCATGATCAAGTGGGATTTATTCCAGGGATGCAAGGATGGTTCAATATCCACAAATCAATGTGATATACCATATTAATAAAATGACGGATAAAAATCATGATCATCTCGATAAATGCAGAAAAAGCACCTAACAAATTTTGACAACCATTTTTGATAAAAACTCTCAATAAAGTGGGTAAAAATGAAATGTACCTCAATATTATAAAGGCTATGTATGACAAACCCATAGCAAACATACTCAATAGTGAAAAATTGAAAGCTGTCCTTCTAAGATCAGAAACAAGACATGGATGCCCACTCTTGCCACTTTTATTCAACACAGTATTGGAATTCCTAGTCAGAGTAATTAGGCAAGAAAAATAAGCAAAAGGTACTCAAATTGGAATGCAGAAATAAAACTCTCACTATTTGCAGATAACATAGTTTTATACATAGAAAGCCCTAAAGATTCCACCAAAAAAACTATTAGAAATTATAAACACATATAATAAAGCTGTAGGGTACAAAATCAATATACCCAAATCTGTTGCATTTCTGTACACTAATAATGAGCTAGCAGAAAGAGAAATTTAAAAACAATCCCATTTACAATTGCAACAGAAAAGAATAAATTACCTAGGAATAAATTTAACCAAGGATGTGAAAGACCTGTACTCTGAAAACTATGAGACATTTGAATGAAAATGAAGACATAAAGAAATGGAGTGTTATTCTAGTTCAAGAATTTGAAGAATTAACACTGTTAAAATGTCCATATTACCAAAAGCAGTCTATAGATTCAATGCAATTTCTATCAAAATACCAACATTTTTCACAGAAATGAAACAAAAAATCCTAAAATTTGTATGGAGCCACAAAAGACCCTAAATAGCCAAAGTAATCCTGAGGGAAAAAAAAAAAAAACAAAGCTGAAAGTATCAAATTTCCTGTTTTCAAATTATACTACAAAGCTATAATAATTAAATGGCATGGTATTGGCAGAAAAATAAACACACAGATCATTGGAACAGAGCTGAGAGCCCAGAAATAAACCCACACATAAATGGACAATTAATTTACAACAAAGGAGCAAAGAACATACAATGGGTGACAGTCTCTTCAACAAATGGTGTTGGGAAAACTGGACAGCCATGTGCTAAAGAATGAAACTAGACCACTACCTTACACCATACACAAAAATTAACTCAAAATGGATTAAAGACCAAATGTAAGACCTGAAACCATAAAACTCCTAGAAGAAAACATATGCAGTATGCTCCTTGAGGTCAGTTTTAGCAATATCTTTCTAGATATGTCTCCTCAGGCAAGGGAAACAAAGCAGAAATAAACAAACAGGACTATATCAAACTAAAAAGCTTCTGTCTGCATAGCAAAGGAAATCATCAACAAAATGAAAGGATGATCTATCAAATGGGAGAAGATATTTGCAAATCACATATCTGGTAAAGGGTTAACATCCAAAATATATAAGAAACTCAACAACAAAAAACAACAAGTAACCCAACTGAAAAACGGGCAAAGGATCTGAATAGCCATTTGTCTAAAGAAATTTTCTAAAGAAGACAAATATGGCTAACAGACTCATGAAAAGATGTTCAGCATCTCTAATTACTATGGAAATGCAAATCAAAACCACAATGAGATATCACCTCCCACCTGTCAGAATGGCTATTATCAAAAAGACAACAAATAACAAGTGTTGACAAGGATATAGAGAAAAGAGAATATAAATTGGTGCAGCCACAATGGAAAACAGTATAGAGATTCCTCAAAAAATTAATAGAACTATCATATGATTCAGCTATTCCACTTCTGGGTATTTATCTGAAGAAAACATAAACACTAATTCAAAAAGATACATGTACCCAATAGTCATCATGGCATTATTTACAATAGCCAAGATATGGAAGTACCCACTGACAGGTAAGTGGATAAAGATGTAGTATGTAAGTACAATGAAATACTAGTCAGCCATTAAAAAAAGATAAAATCTTGCCATTTGCAACAACATAGACCTTGAGGGTATTATGCTAAGTAAAATAAGTCAGACAGAAAAACACAGATACCGTACAATTTCATTTATATGGGAATATGAATAAACAAACAAACAAACAAAATAAACACATAGATACAGCAAATAGTGGTTACCAGATGGAAGGGGGGGGTGGGGGGAGGATGAAATGGGTAAGGAGGGTGAACTGTATTGTGAGTGGAAGCTAAATTTTTGTTTGTGAGTACGCTGTAGTGTATACAGAAGTCAAAATATAATGTACACATGAAACTTATATAATGTAACAAACCACTGTCTTTCTCAATTAAAAAAAAAGTCTAAAGAAAAAACTTTTCCTTAATTTGGTTCTCACTTTAAAGTTCTTAAAAAATAACAATTAAACCAAAGTTAGGAAAAAGGATATTTTTTTACCTGATGGGCATAGATAGTATCATATATTAGAGTCCACATAATTCCAGAAAAATACAGAGGCAGGCAAACAGATGGATCACAGGAGCCCTTGACAGCAGACCATCCAAGTAATGCTCCCCAATTAAAAGTCAACCCTACAGTTAGTGAAACAGAAAGAGAGGAAAAGTCTCAATGTACTTGAGAATTCCAAAGGGAAGGAGAGGGCATCAGCATGTATTGGGTACGTCTATGTGTTCGGCTCTGTGTAGGCTATTTTCTCATGTTTCTTCCCTAAAGTTTCTCAAGCCTCTGTGGTAGTTATTAGCTAGATTTTACCAAAAAAAGAAAAAAGAAAAAAGAAAAAGAAAAAGAAAAAAGAAAAAGAAAAAGAAAAAGAAAAAGAAAAAGAAAAAGAAAAAGAAAAAGAAAAAGGACACAGAACCAGAGAGGTTAGTTAACAATTAAAATAATATAGCTAACAGAAAGAATACTATCCCCTGACAAATAGGTGATTTCATGAGAACAACATTTATTCTACCTAGTAGGATGCGCGGCACAGACAACAGACAGTAGATGCTGGGGTCTGAACCTAGACCTACCCCAGTCAAACTCCTGTGTTCTTTCTCTTATCCCTCTGCTTCCCCTTAAAGTTACAGAAACAAGAGTACAGACAGGAACACTTGTTCTACAAGTCCATCCTCTCTGAGGACTGAGTTACAAACAAACAACTACATGTTGACAACCCCTAAATCTCTGTGTGTAAGCTTGATCACTTCCATGAGCTTCAGACTAGACACTGAACTGCCTGCTAGACATCTCCACCTACAAGTCTCTTAGGTACCTCAAACTCAATGAGTCCCAAATGTCTTTTCTCAGAAATCCTTTTTCTCCTCCTACCTATTCCACTCAGAACCCCACCTCCCCAGCTGATGAAGTGCTTCTCTGTGGTGCCACAGCACTCACGCATGTCACTACACTGTACTGCAATAACCTGTTTACCATCTTTCTTAACATAATCTTATAGACAGGAAATGCTTATCCTCCCTTAACCAAAAGGTTCTCAAGTCAGTTGAGAATATCATGTCCTATTTTTTTTTAAATAATGAAAAGAAGCACAACATTAAATGAGGAGATCTCAGAAAAAGATAAATATTTTACCACTTTCTCACGAGTCAGGCTCCCATCAATTTCTTAAAGTGTCTTTTGGTACTTTTATTTACTGAAAAAATAGTTCAAAGAACTAGAATACTTCTAGGAATATTCTAGACTATTCTAGGAATAGAACAGAGAAGTCTAGGAGTAGATATTTCTGCAACAGATTTTGACTTACCTACCTAACTTCCTCTTTCTACCAACAAATACTTATTCAGTACCTACAATGTGCCAAGTGCTATGTTCGATACTGTGCCATTCACACGTAAAGAATGATTTACCTTTTAGGCATTTACAATGGGGAGAGAGGGCAGGCTCGAAATATCTTCTTGTTGAATCACTGCTGTTGAAATGACTCAGGGCCACACCAGAGTGCTAGGGGAGCCCAGGAGAGACTGGCTAACTTCTTCCTGGGAGGTCTAACAAAGACTCCACAGGAAGGGAGCCACCTAAGCTAACACACACTTTAACTCTTGTTCTCCTGCCTCAGAGCATTTTCTACTCCAGTCCCCAGAGTCTTCAGGGAATTTAGATCAACTACATAAAGAGAGGGATAGGATCAAGGAGCTAATTTTTTTCTCCATGACATACCTAGATTTTTAAAAAAGCATTTTGGAAAATTATAATAATGATCATCTTAGTAAATATGCAGGATTTCTTAGCTGGCTATCTGATCTCCTTTGAAATATGAAAATCGATTATTGGTTTGGAAAATTTCATGACTGACTTTTTATCTTTGCCACATCACACACACACATACATACATACAATATTTTGCCACATCACACACACACATACATACGTACAATATTATAAATAAAAATTTAGTTTGGGGTTATCAAAGGATATAATTAATAGTTATTTCAAGCTCACCCAAGGCTAATTGAGGCCAGTACGTAATCCTTTTCATTAGCGGGTAGGTGATGACAAGAAGCAGGGATGCTGCTCCAAGAGCTATACTAAAATATCAAGGAAAAACATTAAAAAGATTAATATCACCATCTCTTAGAAACTGCTAAATAAGACAACAACAGTAACACTAATTAGGAAATGACTTATCTTAAATTATATTTCTCATGTAAAATGCTCTTCCTAGACTTTGATTCTTGGACTTTAATTAGGATAAAGGATGATTAGAAAATATTTTAAATGTTACAAACAGCCAAACAAAATAACAATAGCTAACATATATACCGCTTTCACGTATTAAGACTGTTCTAACAGCTCTAGTGTGTGAACTCATAATCTTTATCACAACCCTAATGTGTAGGTAGTTTTATCCTACTGGTCTTTTTGCAGATGAGGAAACTAAAGCATAAAGAGGTAAAGTAATTTGTCGACTGTCATACAGCAGTCAGTAGTGGGGCCAGGATGCAAACCTAAGACAGTCTGGCTCCGAGTCCAACATATTACCCACCATATGCTATTGCTTCTATAAATTTTTTTTTCAAACATTAAGACAGCTAATAAACTGAGATGGCCTAATAGAGAATCAGAGTCCAGATACCCCTCCCTACATACAAGACAGGGTGTTTCTTCTTCTACAAGAGGATCAGGTCACAAAGCACCGACGAAAGGATGACAACATCAGATATTCTTAGGGACATCACAGCTCACCTAACACTACCCCTCCAGGAATGACCTTTCAAAGTGTTTTCACCTGACAGACGCTATCAGTGCAAGGTAAGTCATTAAGTTGTCTCTATATAAAGTACTGTTATCTGCTGAACAACTCCTCTTTTTTGTCTTACTGAAGCACTATGTAAGCAGCCATCTGTTTAAGAGATACAGGAAGGAGTCCTACCACTCTTTTATTCTGTCACTGATTAGGAACATGACTCTGGGAAAGACCCTGTTCCTCTTTTTGCAAAGTGAGTGTAATTTCTTCTGTCTCTCCCCTCTTCAGAGATCTGTCAGGATAAATAAATAATTATTTATAACTATGTGTGTAACTGTATATATAGGCATAGACACACACTCCCATGCATGCACCTAGAAAACCTAGGCAAGTGCCTCGAATCCTTGACACAAGTACTGGAGGTGGTGCAGAATAAAAATGCTCATCTATTCATTCCTTTGGCTGAAGCATTCTTGACTTTACAAACACATGGCGACTTATTTATGTTGCTAACTTACAGATGCTTGATAGGGAATAGACAGCTTTGTGATACAGATATTTCAATTTTATTTTATACCTAAATCTTTTATTTCAAAGGAAAGATTTTATACATGATCATGAAAAACACATTTACTATACCTGTAGTAATTCAGACACAGAAGAACACCCAGTGCCAAGGTCAGCTGTCCTCCAAGAAAAACAAAGGACTGAAAAGTTGAAATGTCTCCAGCAGCTATTGGGCGACTTGCTGTTCTTGTAACCTTAACACATAGAAACAGACACCTTAGCGGGGTGGGTATAGCTCAGTGGT